CCAGCCAATCAGCAGTCAGAATGAGTGTTTCCTTGAAACATCAGATGATGCATGAGTGCAAACCAGCCTAGGGCTAAGATAATTGCCAAGTTTCTTTATGTATATTTTTTATTTACTGTTATACACTTTTAACAAGAGTAACTAAAATGTTGAAATAAAAATCTTATTAGGTTAGGTAAGAAAAGTTAAATGAAAGAAACATCAAATAAACTTTATTGTGTTCACTCTTCAAAGAACACAAGCAGTTTGAGGTTGTATCATGTAACTTGATAGTTTAACATAAGCTCTTCTCTCTCACATTGGTAATTTATTGTTTGTTACAGTAATGAAAGGGAGTCTGAAGAATAAAAAAACCATAAAATTAAATGAAGATAAAAGTGAAACAGGTTAGAAGTTTAAATAACTGTAACTGTCAGTTACAATCTACAGTCATACTAGATTCTATTTCATATTTATTCAATTTTCATTTCACTGAAAATTAATTTTATTACAGTTAATGTTACAGTACATAAAAGGTATAAAGTATAAAATTTTACAGAAAAAACCCAAAAACTTTTGATGTCATGAAGAGATATATATATAGTAAATTCAGAATTATAGTAAACATTACTATGCATTGCTTCGTAGATATGGGGGTTGCTCCAATGGACCAATACTGTACACACAGGTTTATTTAAAAATAATAATAATAAATCCTAATAGCAATATTTTTATTACTTACACAGTTGGAATGTTCAAAAACAGTAACAGTCAGAAACAATAATTTTTATTATTTTAGACGAAACTAATCAATGCTCATAAGTAATAGATTATATTGATTGAGTTTAACACCCAGCTTTAATTATTATGTTACTTAAAAGCTTTTTAAAATATTTTGTAGAGAATGTGATCATAAAAGTTGGAAAAAAATTTTAAGACATTTTGGGTTGAAGTTCCTGAAAAAAAAAAAAGAAAAGATGCTTAACTGCATTTTCACAAGCCTCTTGAGATACTGATTATTTATATAATTATATCAACAAGCACAAACACCTTATTTATGCTGCTAAGATGCTACCAAAAAAGGCAGCCCAGATTTAGCTGACAGGCAACTGCCTAGGGTAGAAAAATCAATAAATGTTTATATTAATTTTATTTTAAATTGAATATACTCTCTTATATTTGCTTTACATCCTTTGCCATCTCTTAATGTCCTGGAAATTGTGTTCACAACCACCATATAAGATAATTGACTTAAATATAACACAAGCATCTAACCTACTCAATTCAAGAAACTACACCTTAAACATGTATTTAACAAATTTGCAGCTAAAATGTATATATATTAGTAAAATCAAAAACATTTTTAGGATGGCTAAATACCTTTATTTAAGGGAAGTTAGATGAGTGATCATCCACTTTATTTGAGAATGACAAATTTCATTAGGTTGTAAAGATTGTATTCTCTGAATCTTGGGATACATCTTACGAGGTAAAATGTTTATTTTAGACCTTATTACTGAAGAGGATATGCTCATAAATGTAGTTGTGCAAAAGCATGATAACTACAATCATGACATTACTGCCTTTGATATATTTTTCACTGAAAACAACTGTTACGTTAATGATAGCTGTGTCCATGATATAAGGAAAGCGTACTTTTGGGATAGAAATAGACATGTGACCCTTTTGGGAGTGCTCCTTTGGACTAGATGAAAGAATTAATTAATTACCAGGATTTATGGCTTAAATGAAAGATTATCAGGAATATGGTTGTTGGACTTGTAGAATAAAGATGAATTATATTCTAGAGATGGGCTCCATTTAAGTAGGTTAAGTTGTAAGTTTTGTAGGGAAGCTCTAAACATATTCGTTAAAGATAATCTTGTATGATGATGAGGGAGTTTGGGAATAAACAAATTAACAGGATAGCTGGGATAAAAAGAAAAAAATGAGACTTAGAACATAAACTAAATTAAATATAAGTTGCCAGATTTGAAGATAAACACTAGATTCAAAAATAAGTTATGTTAAAAAGAATTAGGGATTAATTGATGAGTTCAGAACCCAAGATGGAATGAAAGACTATGAAAATGATATTTATTTAAACTTGTTGCATAGGATAACATTGGTAATAAGAATTATTTTAAAACACTTAAAAGTTATGTAATGTAATATTTATTTGAAATAGGGGTGGGATGGCTCTTTATATACAAGATTGAGCTGCAGGCTGTCAAGATTGAAGACAAAAAATGATAGTCAAGAGATTTAATATATATTACAATCAAAGGGTTCAGCTGTAGAAAGTTAACAGGCAACTGTATTAGATCATCAGATCAGACATATGCTAATGAGAAATTGTATAACGAGTCAGCATATTTACTATTAAGAATACTGATCCAATAATTATGGGAAGTTTTAATATCAGATACATTAATTGTGATTATATAGTCAAGTAGTGAGGGAAGCAATATTTCTGGAAGTGATTAAGGATTGTTTTCTACACTATATGGTCAGAAATCTCACATTAACCACTAATGAGAATATGGTTACATGAGTTGAAGGGGGGGGGGACATTTGGGAAAGAGTGATCATTACAAAATTAGATTTGATGTTTTGCTTCATTTTGAAATATAAAGACATTTTAGTTCCCAATTTTCAGTAAGCCAATTATGAATCCATGCAACAAGATTTATCATTAGTGAATTGGAATGAAGGTGATATGGGACAGGTTTGGGAAATTTTTCAAAACAGATTTTCATCCAAGAAAGGCATATTCCTAAAAAGATGAAAAGGATAACAGAGAAGATAAAACCTAAATGGCTTATAAAAATATAAGAGAGAAAATAAGGAATAAATGTAATAAAGTTTATGATGGAAGATTTACAGATCTATAGAAAAGTTAGGGATCTGGTTAAAAAGAAATTGGGAACTCAAAAAAGGTCTATGAAAAACAGTTAAAATTAACGACTTTTTTGGAATTTGCCTGTATTATGAAGATGGTAAACAAAATCACCGAGACTAAAAATAGATAAAGCACTAGGACCAGATAAGGCTTTAAAGCAGATCAAAGGTCGGATATGGGAGCCTCTTTCTTTCATTTTTGGTAAATCAATATATAGATGGCAGGTGTCCAAGGACCAGAGAGTTGTTAATGTTCCTCCTGTCTTTCTAAAGTAGATGATAAGAGTTACCCTGGAAATTACAAGCCTCTCTTACTTCTGTAGTCTGGTAAGAGAAGTTTTGCAAAATCATTTAAAGAAATATGTTACCATAAAAGAAAGCCAACATTAATTCACTGAAATGATATTTTGCCTTACTACTGCTAACTTTTTCGCAGAATGTTACCTGGATGATGGAAAAGGTGTGAACTTAAAGTCCTTAAAATTCCAAAAGCTTTTAAGGTGCCACACAAAAGATGAGCTATGAAAACCACTTCAGCATTGGTTGGGCATAGACTAGTTAATTGAATTTCATGGTGGTTGGATGACAGGATGAAAAAAATTGTTACTAACCTCTTCACAGTGTTTATTCCCTGTGTGGAACTTTTTTCTTTAATGTTTTTGTTCTAATGTTGCAGTTTGCTACATAGTTTCAAGGCCACTAAAACACATTATGAGTTGATGGTAGAATCCTTTGTTACAGTACATCATATTCACTCATATCTTAGTGGCACTCAAAAATAGTTTATCTTCATATATGTAAAGTTCAATGCACACTTTATAGGCATCCACTGCTATAAACTTATCTTAGATAAATTATTGGTTTCTACAACATTCATTACTTTGATTTTTCTGGAATGATAGGGAGGGGAAGCCTTTTGTGCAAGCAATAGCATAAATGATACTTTTTTTTTAAAGTTAATTAAGCCACAACTGCAATATACAGTTTCAGAGAAGTGAAAATTTAAACCCAACAGTTATTTTTCAGGAAATTATTTATTACCTTCTTATTTAAATGTCTGTAGAGTGCTGGCCTCTACTACTAGCAAAGGCAATAAATTACAAAAATTAATCACATTGTTATAAAATTAAAATTGTCTCAACTAGAGTTTGTCCTGCATTTTCCAAGTCTTAAACTTTTTTTCTCTTGTCACATTATCTTTATCCTATTGATTCCCTGAATAATCTTGTAACTTCAATAAGATTACCTCTGACCATTTTTTTTTATCAAGATAAGTTTAATCTTTATAAGTAACCCTTTCATTCCAGGAATCATCCTAGTATCCCTCCTCTAAACCATTTAAAGTAGGTCATTATCCTTTCTTAAATAAAGAGACCAAAACTGTATCCAATATTCAAGTGAGGTCAAACTAATGATTTGTATATAGAGGTAATTACCTCTTTTGACTTGCAACCAATATGTCTAAAAATACATCCTTAAAAATATGTTAGCTTTACTATTAGCAACACAGTACTGTTTTGATGGCTTGAGTGCATTAGAAACCATTATATAAAATCCTTTTCTTCAGTTATGCTACTGAAGTGGATTCCCATCTATATTGAACGTGATCCTAACTATGATAAATAACCTGTTGATTGGAAGAAAAACTGTATAGGAATGGTAAATATAACAAACTACTCAATCAAGATAAAAAAGAAGGGCATAAACTCACAAGGTTTAAGGTTGTACATTTAAAGCATGTTACCAGTATATCATCAGAATATAGATCGCGAAACTTAAAAAAAAATGTGTGCAAACTCCCTGTAGGCAGCTAAGTCTACAAATATATGAGTATCTACCTTCAGCCTTATCTAACTGTGGATGTAAATGAAACTATTTAACAAAAATCAAGACACTTTTGCTACCCAATGGTTATGATGATGAACAAATAAAAGTATGTGATAGAACAGATATTAGAATTGAGTGTGTAGAATTCCATACCAATATCTCAATGCTAAGGTAAAGGTCTACTTTCTGTTAAAGAAATCGAAGTTATATTATTATTAAGACAAAGTACTAGACTTTGAATTGAAGTTTAAACTTTAACTTTAATGTCATCTTAACTTAAGCAACAAGCTCACCCTATCTTTGACTTGTGTGAGCATGCAACTCTTCATAAGCATCGGGATTTTAAGTATCCCCTTCACAAAAAAAAAAAAAAGTAATAAGACTTTTGAAGAGGAGTCTCAAACTCAAGCCAGCCAAGGAAAAAATTGCCAGACTCGCTTATTTGATGCAATGCTGCGTTTTGGAGCAGAAACGTAACTAATTTAAACCACACCATTATTGAAATATGCAAAATTAACTTAGTATATATAAGTACATACAATTTTGTTGACTATATTAAACTATTTTATTTTGTACAAAAAACACGATAGAATATAAGTAGGATTTATCAATAGTAACAAGTTAAATACTATTACTAACACTTTCACCCTCAATCCTTAGTTCCAACAGTAGCACTAGTGTATTAGACACACGAGTTCCAAAGCGTCCTCTAATTTATAATTTACGTGCTTTTTCTTTCCCCAAAACATTGAGTAATTGTGCTTCTCAGTAAAAAAATCTATATATGTCACTTTCCAATATATATACTTAAAATAGTTGTTCATAAAATAACCGTTTTAAAAAGAAGTAAAAATATTTCTTGACCCATGCAATATTTTAAATGATTGGAAATTGTTATTTTAAAATTTATTTGTAGTATGAGATTTATTTATATCAGTGGTGCGCAAACTTTTTCAAGGTACTAACCGTTCTAAACATGCTTTCTCACAAGGGTTTGCTGAGACGCAGAATTTATGACAAAGTTGCACCTTTGGCCATCCAGCTTCCCTGTCACGTAGACACTATGTGTGCTTGCCATTTTACACTTAGCTGTTGGGACTTTCACGATGGGGATTGGTGGGCGTCCCTCAGCACCAACCACTACTGGTCTTCTTGAGGCTGACTTGTTGGTAATATTCTTCTTACACTGGCTCCTCATATGTCCTTGCTTTCCACAGTTCCAACAACCTTTCTGTGTAGCAGCCTTTCCTGCTGTGGCATTTCCCCTGTATTGGAGTTGCCAGCATTGAGCTCTCTTGTGCCCAGGTTTATTACAGTGCGAAGTTTGAGGGACTTTGCTAAAAGGTCAGCTTTCAGAGGTACAGTCATCTGGATTCAAGGCCAGAACCTTGGTACCTCTGTGGCTAGACTTAACGTAGGATTCAAATTCGAGAGCTCTGGCCATCGCATCCTGCATGGTAGAGGGGTGTGCCTGCTTCACTTGTATCTTAAGTTGTGGACTGTCCAAGGCATCTACGAACTGATCCCTCAGCAACAACTTGAGGAGATTGGGTGGTGCAGTTGGGTAGGCCTTGTGTGCCATGCTCTCCAAGTCCTGTGCCAGCTCTTGTAGGCTCTCCCCTTTAGCACGGACTCTCGTCCTGAACCTGGCCCTGTAGACTTCTGACTGGTTTTGGATTCCATATCTGAGTTCTAGAGCCGACACCAGTGTTCTATAATTGTGTCTGTCGGCTGCTGTCAACTGTCCAAGTATTTCCAGTAGTTGTCCTTCAAGCTCGTTGCCAGATATACGGCTTTCTGCTCCTCTGTCCATCCATTCATCTCTGCCAGTAACTCAAACTGTGCTCTATATGCTTCCCATGGTGCCTTCCCATCGAAT